GCTGGATGGTTAAGACCAAGATATAGCAACACTTATGCAATAAGAGTTGTAGCTTTGGGGTCTGATAAAGTCAGTCAAATCCCCTCAGGATTTATCCTGAGATCCTGTACCTCAGATTGTAGAACCTTTGTCAATGTCAGCCATGTCCTATTCTCATTTAATACTAAAATATGAACTGTTGTTAGAAACACAGTCTTGGGCTGGTGAGATGTGGTCTAAAGCACCTACTTAGAACAAGCTTAGCAAAGCACAGGGACCCTGGTTCAATCCCCCAGCACCATGTGCCAGCCAGCCCCGCCCCCTGGTGGGCTAAGCTGGCCACACACACACACACACACACACACACACAATAAATAAATAAATATTTTTTTTAAAAAATGAAAAAAAAGAAACACAGTCTTAGTAGAATTCAGGCAGTGAGACTATCCTACACTGTACTGTAGTCAAAAGCCCTAGTTATCGAAGATGACTTCACCTGCCTGCGAATGCCTTCCTCCGGATATTCTAACCACAGCTTCTAGACACATTGAAATTCTCCTTTGATAGTAACTTTCATGCAGCTAAAAGCATCAGGTGGCCATGTATCAGGCACTACGCCTGGCTCCAGTGCACGGAGAAAAGCCTGTTGTTTTTTTAATGTGTTTGTGATCTGTCATGCCATGTACTTTTGACCTTCTTCTAGTGTCAGTATCCTGTTTACTTTTATTTGTTTCTAAGACATCCATCTTACCCTCATGGTATCAAGGATCTGACAGGTAACTAAAAACAAGCCACCCAAGAGTCTCTGTTGACCTGTTTCATTGATCTGCTTTAGATGACGTCCCCTGCCATTTACTGTCAGCTCTTATTGCTGGGTTTTGCACAACGCTTCTGTCCTCTCCAGTGGATGTGGTGAAAACCAGATTCATTAATTCTGCCCCGGGGCAGTATGTAAGCGTGCCCAGCTGCGCGATGACAATGCTCAACAAGGAAGGACCGACAGCTTTTTTCAAAGGGTAAGATGTGATCTTCTTATCCATAATGGTGTGTGCAGAAAGCCCTTGCGCTTTGAGATGCTGTCTCATTGAAACAATCCGGCATGGACCTCCAAGCCTCAGTATATGCTGCAGACTGAGTACCAACGCTTCCTTGCCCCTTGTTTCTCTAATTCATCAATTCTACTGAGCCAGAAAATAAAAGCTGTGATAATAAAAGCTTTCCAGCTTTGCCTTGAAGCGTATTCCAGATCAGTACCTTCCCATAGTGCTGATGGGATAGGTATACCATGCCTTACATCATACCTAGGTACACCATATCTACCTTAGCATGACATCTGTGAGGAGGAGGATAGCTATGAGTGTGAGGCCAACCTGGACTATGTAATGAGTTCAAAGCCAGCCTAAACTACGTAGCTTGACCTTGCCTTAATTCATTAATAAAAAGTTTAAAAAATTAAAAGTGCTGATATAGCCCAATATGAAGGACCTGGGTTCAAGTCCTAGTACCACACACAAAGCAGTGAAAATTACATGATTTGGGTAATTATAAGATTTACCTAGAAACTACTATTGGATTATGTAGATTACATATTTCAGAATGTAATATTATATTATATTGAAAACTACCTCAAGAAAATATAGTATGATCTAACTTATGAACATGTCTGATGCAGACTACATTAATGATAAAATAATAAATATTGTGCCTCAAACTTTCTAAGTTCCATACCCATTATTCATAATATTCCAAGATTATCTATATTTATAATGCATTAATATAAATAATATACATTATAAACATTAACTTCAAATGGTTATACTAGTATTTATTTAGTTCCCCTTCCCATTTGTCTAAGATTTATCTCTGTATGTTGTATTTTCATATTTTTTATTTTACTCTTTAAATTATTCATACTTTGGACTTCTCATAGAAATCATCCAATACTTGTGTTTGTGTGTCTAACTCATTTCACTTAACATATGGTCTCTAGGGCATCCGTTTTCCTACGAATGACTAAAGTTTATCCCTCATGGCTCAGTAGAACTCTACTGTGTGTGCATATCACATTTTCTTTATCATTCCTCTATTGACAGACATCTATGGGATACAAAGTCTGAGGTAAGACAAGGATGTGGAACTGAAGGTGTCAGTTGCACACAATTACACACTGGATGCATCTGAAAATTATACATCTTTAAATGGATACAATGGTGTATTCACAGTAAAAACTCTATGCATCTGAGAAATGTCAAGAGACCTGGGAGGGGAAAAAAGTCCTGTGCGAGGTGTTTTCTGTAGTCTAGATTTCCATTAAGAACAGAGGCAAAGCAGATTTGAATGTTGACTTGTTTGTCTTCTGGAATATTTCATTGCTGCAAACGGAAATTCAAAAATCAATTCAACAGGGCCAGGGAGATGGCTCAGTGGAGTAAGCACTTCCCTGGCAGGCGCAAGGACCTGAGTTCCATCCCCGGTTCCACAAAAAACAAAAAAATCAATTCAACAGAATCCTTAAAAAGAACCCCCCAAAACCATACAACAAGCAAACAAATGAAACCTATTTAAACCTGGCTAGCCACTTTAAGGACAAGAACTGCCTACGTGGAGAGAGTCCTGACTGCCTGACTCTGGACATGGGTCTGCTTCTTCATCCCTTCTCCCCTTTCTTCTCTGCCTTTCTCCTTTGATAGCTTCCTTCCTCCTGTTTATCAAGCAAATGAAAATGAAAAAGAAATAGTTATCGCAATCAGCGCTTAGGTTTGATGGCAGTGAAAGGTATTTATGGATTTTGTAGATGAGATTGTTGAGGTCCTGGTGTTTCGAAGCACTACAGAACATGAAGAGGATGCTTTTAGCATGTTCATTAGAAAGAGTAGCAAAATAAGAAACATAGACTGCCTGTACCTTAATAGCTTTAAAATTTTCAAACTAACTAATAGATGGTGACCTGTTTCTCCAGGTTTGTACCTTCCTTCCTGCGACTCGCCTCCTGGAACGTCATTATGTTTGTGTGCTTTGAGCAGCTGAAGCGTGAGCTGATGAAGTCGAGGCAGCCCGTGGACTGTGCCACATAATCAGCTTCCAGACAAGGCTGGGCTGCATGCGGAATCTCCTCTGATGGAACGTTAATAAAAACAAAACTCAGAGCATCCCTTTTTACTTCATTTCATCCTAAAAAGATAAATTCTGGTAGGATAGAAAGCTTTGGACCTTTTTTTTTTTTTAACGTAAAACAAATATTGTTTTGCAATATTTTATTCTGTGTTGTAAGGAGAGAAAAACATAACATTCAGTGTACACCATGGCAAATGTAATGTCTATAGTAACTGCATGTGATTGATCACTTTAGGGCTGGAATTGTATGAGTGAATACAAAGAACTTTAAGTTGTAAGAAAGGAAAACCGAGTGGAGTACATTTTACTGAGATAACTGCATTTAAATGAAGTTATCAAAGAAAATATCAGTTTCCTTTTATTTATTAACCACAACTGTCAGATAATGTTTCAATAAAGCATTGCTAATACCTTTTGAAGTTTGTCTTTTGAGGCCTGCATGTGGATGTAAGAGTGTATTTTTGCCCTGAATACAAAGCCTTAGCAAGAGGAGGTCTTTAGAACCAGCAGGCATAGACTGACTGCTATTAGGACAGACTTTGCATTTTCACAGGTGGTAATTCGTGGCATCTGTAGGAACTGTCAGTCTGAGGTACTCAGTCCATTTGGACAGTATTAGTTTTAGAGTCCTGGTGTCAGTGCCAAAATCACAATTTTAGCATGAGAAGATCCATTTAGGAAAAGGAGGAGGAGGAAGAAGAGGAACAGGAAGAGGAGGGGGAGGAACAGGAAGAGGAGGAAGAGGAAGAGGAAGAAGAAGAAGAAAGGAAGAAGAAGAAGAAGAAGAAGAAGAAGAAGAAGAAGAAGAAGAAGAAGAAGAAGAAGAAGACTGAAACTTCTGCTGAGATGAAAATAAATGAAACTGAAACTAACTCTCTT